TACGCTTCTCCCATCTCCCATCTTTAAAAATGTGATTTTAGGAACAATTTTCCTGTCTTTCTGCAGAGTAAAATTCTGCGCGGAATTTTATGTTTTTTGAGTTCCTTTCATGTTATTTTTTGCTTATTTCACTGTTTGTAAGATATTGAAAAGTTTTGCATGATTTTTTTTCTTGGTTAATTTTTTTATTAGGATAATTAATATTTGTATTAAGGGATATAGCTTATTCAATTTTAATTTTTTCTCTTGAAAATATAAGATAAAATATCATTAATTATACTTTGCTTTTCTGAATTTTTTGTTTTTTGTATTCTTTTATGTTATTTATTGCTCATTTCACTGTTTTTAAGATATTGGAAAGTTTTGATTGATTTTTTGGGGGAAACAAAGTTCTTAACCTCCTCATTTGAGTTCTTAAGAATTTTCAAAGGGAAGTTGACTAATTTATTTATTAGGATAATTAATATTTGTATTAAGGGATATTGCTTATTTCATTGTAATTTTGTTATACATAATAACTTTTTTTTTATGAAATTGTTCTTCAGAATAAAATTCTACGCAGTTTTTAAATTTAACGTTTGGTGTTCCCTCCAGCCATTTTTCCGGTACATTTAAAAGCCAGACGAAGGCTGGCAGCGAAGCTGCTAGTCTAAATATAAATTCGTAACAGTATAAACGATAAGCTTTTAAATAGTTTGAAAGTACTTGCACATTGATTTGAAAGGGTTTCAGCGTCAAGTTTGGCACTAATGGATATTTAGTTGAAAGTCGATGGACGTGTATCTTACGAAAATAAAAATAGGTTCATTGACCGAAGATTTGAGGATGTTCAAGCGTGAGAAAATGGCCTAGATCTGCCGATAAAAATGTCATTTTTACATTTTACCCGGAAAGGGAATCTAAATTTAGATGTCTGCGTCGGGTGGAATCAATTTCCCATGTACACAAAGCAGCTAATGAAAATACTTGCAAACGACAGGTCTAACGAGCTACATATACTTTTTTTCTTGAGCTTCATGAATTACCCTCTAATGAACTGTCGTTTTGAATTAATGACCTCCTCCTTTCAAGAAGAAACTTAACGTGAAGAAAAGGCTCACAAATATTTTGTAGGTTGCGAAAAGACGGGAGCTTTGTTTGGCTAGAATCCGTTTAAATGGTAAGAATTGTGTATGTTGGCTATTATTTCGAAATCTTTGCTTGCAGTAAGAATTATCTCCAGAACCCAGTGATCTCACATATGTGTGTATGTAAATGAAGTATCGTAATCGCGAATAATTTGGGGTATCACATTTGTTTTTCGAGAAAGATTTGCCCTGTTTTCGTTGCAGAGATGGACAAGAAAAAAGGGTTCGTTTCATAAACATAAAAAAAAAAAAAAAAAAAAAAAAAGTAATATATATGACAAAAGTAATATATATGACGATTGCAAAGTAATATATATAACGATTTTTGTACAAAAGTAATATATATGACGTTTTTGTACAAAAGTAATATATATTTGTACAAAAGTAATATAAAAGTAATATATATGACGATTGCTACAGAACAACTATTGCGTCCCTTATCACTTATTTCTCTTCGATAAAAACAGGAGGCGAAAATCAATATTTGAGCTGACATCATTGCTGTCACTATATAATGAAAAATAAAATAAGATAACCCAAAATAATATAATTATAGCTGAAGAAAACTAAAGGAAAGAGATATGCTGAAGACTACTCTTATTTAATTCTTCGCTTCTAAGTTTTAAAATGCTAAAAAAATACAACAATGAATATATAATAAAATTAAAAAAATTTCTCACTTCACTCTTTTTTTTAACATAATTAAATATTAATTTTGACTCTCCCAACGTAATGGAAGCTTAGTACTATTTGCATGATACACAAAAAAGGTGGATGTGCTAGATTGTAGTAATTATATAGGAATCAGACTTCCTTGCACATTCTATACAATTCTGTCTGCTATTCTTTTTGACAGACTTGTCATTTGTTAACAACCTGATAGGCGACTATCAATGGGGATTATTTTGGCGCATATAACCTTTCTGGTTATGCGCCATTAACTCAACTACAAACACCACCATCAATGGGGATTAAGGAAAGGAAGATCTACAATCGAGCAAATTTTCAACTTAAAACAGATCTTTGAAAACTGTAGAGAATATACACTCATGTCCATAAATTAAGGATAATGCAAAGGAAGAGTTAGAAGCAAAACAAATTTGATTTATTCGTAAAGCTTATTTATTAAACAAAAGGTAAAGAGCAAAAAAAGATGCTATATGTTTGATATTATTAAAAAAATTAGCGATTTTTCTCTCCTGGAGCAAATTACAAAAAAAAAAAAACCTATTTACGAAAAAACAATATTACATGGTTGGTATGATTGTTAATACATTGTATGTCTCCCAGACGATGCAATACAGTCCGTACAACGCCTAGGCATGCTGAGTATCAAATTATCGATCTGATCTTGGCGGATATTACACTACTCAAAAAGCAATGCACTCTCAAGTTCCGGTAGACATGTAGGGGGAGGTTGACGAGCTGCAACTCGTCGGCCAAGCATGTCCCACACGTGCTCTACTGGATTCAAGTCCGGTGAGAATGCTGGCTAGTCCATACGGGTGATATCCTCCGATTGAAGGCATTCGCTTACGATGTTTGCACGGTGAGGACGGGCGTTTTCATCCATAAACACAAATTGTGCGCCCGAAATAAACGTACATGTTGTTCCAGAACGACGTCCCGATAGATTTGGCTTTTCATGGTTCCAATTTGAACATGCAGGTCTGTTCTGGAACCCAGAATAATTCCACCCCAAACGAGCACTAGTGCACCACCGTAACGGTGTCGTTCAATGATGTTTTCTTGTTGGTAACGGGTCTGGCCTATCACGTCATGGTACTTACTGAGCCACGCTGGGATAGCGCTCCGTAGTTTTGATCTACAGCAGCGGCAATAATCGTTCTACGAACGCAAAAGTAGTTGTCACGTAATAGCGTATACCCTCAGGAGTACTTGGATATCAATTTTATGCGTATACGACTATTAGTTCGTTAAACTGTGGATTTTACAAATTTTGAACATTAATCAGCGTTCCTTGACGCCATTTTCGACGTGAATTCCATCTTCACAACTGCATTAGGAAGCCATCTGAAGTCGCAGCAGTCCAATACTGGTATCATTGGAAAGAGGATTACTAGAATTCAGTGCAGTGCAGTATTTACATAGTGCAAGTGTGTGTGTCAAAGTTAGAAATAAATAGCAGAATTCAGTGCAGTGCAGTGTTTACATAGTGCAAGTGTGTGTGTCAAAGTTAGAAATAAATAGCAGAATTCAGTGCAGTGCAGTGTTTATATAGTGCAAGTGTGTGTGTCAAAGTTAGAAATACATTTACCGTGGATAACAATTATTAGATTTCAACTAATTAATATCAGATGAAAACAGAGAAATCTGTCTGCCAAGATACCAGAGAGGCACAATCGTGCAATAGTGCTAAAAGTGTGTTAAAGTGTGTCAAGTGTTATAAGTTCACCAAGTGTGACGCAAGTGTCATCTCGAAGTGCTAAGTGCTAGTCTTTTAGTGTTCAGCGCATAATTGCTCAGTGCTGTGTTCCACTCTGACATGACACGTCCGACAACTTTATCAGATAAAGCAGGAACTACCTCACAAGATAACTTGGATACGGAGGCCTTATTGACGTCTGAGCTTACACGCGAAGAGCGAATTGCAGCTCTAGCAAGGGACATCAGTCTAATTGCCGACACTTATCGAGGAGGCAAACACGTTCTTTCCCAAGTCTTAAGGAACAGGCTCAAGGATTCACTGGAAGTGCTAAAAGGGTTGGCACTCGAAGGGCCAGATTTCAGTCCAAAACCGCCAACACACGAGGCAGGCACAAACACATCTACCCTCGTCTGTTGCGGCTTAGCGCACTTCCAACCTAACGCAGGACCAAGTGATTCAGCAGCACCAAACCCTTTCACTGACGTAGAAACAGCTGTAATTCCCCAGGTTCCCATCCCAAGATCTTTTGCGGAGGCAGCAAAGCTGATTCAGAAGCCCAGCCAGTCTAGAAAACCCAGAACCCATACTCTGCTGATCTATCCGGCCCAAGACGCCAAAGGAACAGGCAAAGATCTAAAAGCCACCTTGAATGAAAAATTCCCCCTTGCTACCTTAGGAGTTAGAGTTAATGCAATAAGGAAAATCCAAAACGGAGGACTGGCAGTAGATTGCCCCACAAAAGAAGACCTCTCTAAACTAGCCAATACATTGGGCAGTGAAGAAGGTCAAAAACTTGTACAGACGAAACTCCCGGAAAAAAGGCATCCTAGGGTTGCAATTCACGCTGTACCGCCAGAAGTACAGAGGGAGGAGGTCGAAAGGACTCTAGCTTCAGAATTTGCTCTTACAAAGTCCACAGCAAAGGTTCTGTACAGACTAAAAGAAGGACGAAATGGAACAAAGTGGATTATCCAATGCGAACCTGCGGCATACGACAAGCTTACGCAACTTCAAAAAGATCAGCTTCGGATGGAGAGTCTACAGAATCTCAGAATATTTTAATACGCGACGGTGCTATAGATGTCAGGCATTCGGACACCTACAAAGTGAATGTAAATTCCAGCAACATTGCGCCTTCTGCTCAGGAAGTCACACAGCGTTAAGGAATGCAGAGCCAGCAGACCAACCTGCATCAACTGTGCCGATTTTAATTTCAGAACACGTGGTAAAATCAATACCGCGCATGCAGCATACACAGCCTCATCATGCCCGACATACGCACGATATATTGAACGGCAACAACGCAGCACAGCGTACTAACAGCCAACTAATAGCAACAAGTAATAATCAACCGATACCCACAGTAATCAAATAACCCTACGACAGCACAGATAATCCGCTGCACACAAATAAACCTGCAAAGAGCAGAAGTTGCTACAGCACAGGCGATACAACATGCAACGGAGCATTCTGTAGACTTCCTGATGATCCAGGAGCCGTACTGCCAGGAAGGACGCATTGCAGGTTTCCCTATAGCATGGCAGGTCTTCCAGTCAAAAGCAAGGAACCAAGATCAAGCACCAAGAGCGGGTCTAATATGTTGTAACCCAGCCTGGAATCCGCTGCTAATTAAACAGGACAGAGACTTTGTTGCCGTTTTAATTGTGCTCAAAAATGCACAACTGATTCTTATATCTGCGTACTCCTCCCCAACAGACTCCATCGACAATTTCGTAGCAAACGCAACGTACGTCCGATCTAAATGCCATTCAACGCCACAAGTCTATGGGGGTGATCTTAATGCGCATCATGTAAACTGGGGATACCAAGATATCACTCCCAAGGGACAAGCGCTAGAGGACTACTTAACAGCAAACGACCTACATTTGGTCAATACCAGCGGCGCACCCCCTACCTTTGATAATACGTACTACTGCAAAGGTTGGCCAGATGTCACCCTGGCAACAGGAACGGCTCTATCGCAAGTACAGGACTGGAAAGTTAGCGACGAACTAAGCTGCTCGGATCACCGTTACATAACCTTCACAATCAACTGTGACACCAACATCTGTATTTTAAAGCGCTTTAAGTTACCAAAAGCCAAAATCCGTCCTCTGACAGCAGCCTTCTCTACTTTATTAACAGCAGAACAGGAGACACTAGAAGCCTACAACGGCAAAGACGAGATGGAAGAATTTACAGAACATCTTCTGGATAATATTAAGACCATCTGCTCAAATTTGCTTCCACGCGAGCTGCCAAGAAACGGCACAGCATTTCATGGTGGAGTAAAGAACTCAGGCAACAGCGTCAGAAATGTCGTGCTCTAAGGCGCAGAATAAGAACAGCAACCGACGAGGACACAAAAATGCACTACCTTTCAATTTTCCGTAAGGAAAGGGCATCATACAAAAAGAACATCCTCGCAGCAAAGATAACAAGTTGGAGAACTTTTTGCACGCAGAATAACAATCCATACAGCGTCCTCCATAAATTGTCGACTAATAAAATCTACCAGCCATCACAGATCTTCGCCCACCCCTCTCTTACAACAGACATCGCAGGAGCCACAGCTGCCACCTACTTAGACGCACTGTTCCCGAATGACGATCCAACACAGGACACAACAGAGCAAAGGGAGATACGTGCAGACTCAACACCTCCAGCAACTCCAGCCGACGAGCCCTTCAGTGACTCAGAAATCAGACAGATCTACCGCCATCTCCCTCTCAAAAAGGCACCGGGACCCGATGGCATCGATTATAACATCCTTAGAATAGCCTACAAGGCAAGACCATCCCTTCTTTACTAAATCTTTCTCAATCAGCTCTTGCACCATCGAGTTTTCCCTCGCGTCTTTAAAGAGGGACAAGTCGTCCTCTTCTTAAAAAAGAATAAAGATGCAGAAAATCCGCGCTCCTTCAGGCCAATATGCCTTCTATCCTCCCTAGGGAAGATATATGAGAAGTTAATAGTCAATAGACTCAGATTTCACCTTCATCGCAGCCGCTATCTCAGTAATAGACAATTCGGCTTTAGAGTTGGACAATCCACCACTCATGCTCTGCACGCTATCTTGGAGGAAATACAAAGGAAATAGATCAGGCAACCTGCACACCCGCCTTCATCTCGCTGGACCTCCAGAGTGCCTTTGATACACTCTGGTGGCCAGCAATCAAGCAGGCACTCAGGAAAGCGCAATTGCCCCATCAATCTCTACAGCGTCCTCTGCCACTACCTGCAGGACAGAAGTCTACTAATAACTCATAACAACGGAGTTACTACTAAACACCAAGAAAGGGGCTGTCCGCAAGGCTCGTGTGCGGGACCGATTCTTTGGACGATTACTTACTTTCAACGCCATCCTGGAGGCCACATGGCCAAGACATACGTCCATCGTCGCCTACGCTGACGATGCCGCACTGTTAGTACAAGGAAGAACCCGCGACGAGCTTGAGAAGAATGGCACCGAGTCTTGTGCACTCTTTGCAGAACTCTGCGGCAAACTTAAACTTCAACTATCTGCTGAAAAGTCCTGTGCCCTGATCATACCGAAGCAAAGAGCCAACCTGAGACGCAAACCATGCATCAAATTAATGCAGAGGAACATTAAAATCAATAACACCTTAAAGTACCTTGGCCTTCTGTGGGACAACAAATTAACATGGATTCCCCACCTCCAAAGTATTAAACAGCGAACTTCCGAAATAGCAAGAAAAGCCCGCCTATTTCAGGGGCGAAACTGGGGTCAAAATCCCCACATACAGAAAATTCTTTATCTCACAGTCTCAGAGAAAATAGCCCTTTACGCTTCAGCAATATGGGCCAATCCGATGAGTGGTAGAAAAGTCAAACAGCTGGGAATTATACAACGACCTTACGCCTTACTCTTGTGTAAGGCCTACAGAACAACGGCCACTAGTGCAGCAGTGGTATTATCTGGTCTAATGCCACTGCACATACGCGCAGAAACTGAAGCTGCTTACGCTACTGTTATCCATTTAAAGAAGGAAGCTACCTTCTGCGGAAACACTTATAGTCCAGTTCAGTATGAGCATCCAAAGAATACCCTGGAGACGCACCCTGCGCACAAGGGAAGAAATATAAGGATTCACGTCAGCAGAAGTGGCGAGCAAATTACAATACAGGATCCACGGTACCCAATGCAGTACTATACAGATGGATCCAAGCTCGACGAGGGTACAGGTAGTGCCTTCGTCCTGTACCACGGAGGATGCAAGGAAATCGAGTGGAAGGGGCATCTTCAACCAATAAACAGTACATTCCAGGCTGAAGTCATAGCCATTACCACTGCGATTCAGCATGCAATTGACAGCGGGATCACCGATGCAATGCTGTTTACAGATAGCATGTCAACGCTATTCGCCCTAGTCAACCATAACCACACCTCCCCATTGGTAGCGGACCTCCAGAATATTTCTACAATCACATCCTCAACTAACTGTAAATTTAATATGGACTAAGGCACACGTTAACAACGAGGGTAATGAGACAGCTGACCAACTGGCAAAGGAGGCAGCAAGCAACATAGCTGCACAGATGATGGTAACTATTCCAGCGCCACCCTCGTATCTCAAGAGAACTCTTAAGGAAAAAGGTCTGCAGAAGTGGCAAGCTGAATGGGAGACCTGTGATACGGGTCGCAGAACCAATTTATTTCTGCCTAGAGTGAAAATGGAGCGCCAATACTCCATACCTCCCATCACTAATTACATCTCGGGGCACGGGCCTTTTCCCCCTATTTTGAGCGATTTGGTATCTCTCAGATACAGGCTTGTGCGTCTGTGGGTCGCTCGGAACTCCAGACCATTACATCTTTGAATGCCCGCTCACGGAGGATAATCACCTCCACTTGCCAGCAGACAACCAAATAGCCTTCAAACGATTCATCGTTAATAACAAAGGCACAGTGAATACCATCTGCAGAATAATCAGCCAGATAACCGCCCTGGGGCAAGACCTATGCCAACCCCACTAATTCAGGGTCTTAAGTGAATGTAAGTACTCCTCTGCATCTAAGGAAATACAGTATCTTCCTTCTGCTAAGCGCATGTACCTTCTTTATTAATAGTATTTATGTGTCATGTCATGTATGTGTTATGTTAATATTTTTTTTTTTCTTTTCTTTTCTTTTTTTTTTTTTCTTAAATGTGTAACCAGTATGTTATGTAACGTATACCTTGCAAACCTAAATCTGTAATACAATATAAATAGCCAATGTATCTCTCATCTGCCCCTGTATGGCAATGTAATAAATCTTTTAAGATCTCAATAAACCTCCGGTAGATAGGGGAGGGCGCGGGACATATGCCTGTTTACCTCTGTTAAACACCAGGCGTCCCCGTCCTCCGTCACCTGTCACCTGTTGGTAACGGGTACCTGGAGCTCTCCATATGAAAGTCCGGCGGGAATCAGACAGCTAGTTAAACCTTGACTCGTCGAAAAACATCACACAAGCCCACTGTTGCGGTGTCCACAATGCATGCTTTCTACTCCAGGCTAACCTCAGGCGACAGTGAGTTGCAGTAAGTGGAACGCATCTGACAGGTTCTACGAGCATATAGACCAATCTGTCCTAAGCGTCTGTATATGGTCTGCCTTGAAATTGTCGTACCAGTAGCTGAAGAGAGCTGACGAGACAGGTTTGAGGCTGTGCTGCTCTTGTTTCTTTTGGCAGTAACTGCCAAATACCGGTCCCCATCCGCGTTGTAACTCTGGGGCCACCTATGCTATAACGTCTACTCACATTACCATCATCTTGGAATCGTTGCCAAAGCCTGGAGATGACACTCTAGGCAATTCCAAGTTCGTCTGATACTTCCAGTTGGACACGCCCACATTCCAGACGGCCGATAATTCTACCACGTAAAAAATCATCCAAATGCGTCCTTTATGTCATAACTATTCGGCTATTGCACTGAAATGCTTATAAAAAGCCTGCGAACAATTTTACTTCTTTGTCTGTATTCCTTATATATCACTCTCTTACACTCTCGTCATTGTGACGTACCATCGGTGTCATCTGGTTACTTCCTGAAATTTGCATGTGATTCTTGAAGAAGTGTGTAGCGATTTTACAGGTGATATATTTATTTTAGAGTTCAATTTCCGCGTGACTCCGAATTATTCTTAATTTATGGACATGAGTGTAGAATCGACACTCACAATCTTTTTATCGATTTTAGAACAGCATAATATTGTAATAACAGAACGCTCGTAGCCTTGACTCTCAAAGAAACCATAATTCAAATACGCATACAGGGTGATTACACAGAACAGATCGAGGTAAAGAATTGAGTGCGCAAAGTGTTAAAAGAATTAATTTATTCGTAAACGAAAATAAAACTAGATATTTACCATGCTTCAAGTCTGACTTAAAACTTAGTCACTTAGAAATGGGAAATTCTGAATTTGAAGAAGTTAACAGTTTTACTTGTTTGGGGACAGAGATAAATAATAAAAATGCGGTGGCCCTAGAAATATATAAAAGAATCATTGCTGCAAGTAGATGTTTTTGCTGAAGAGTTATTTAAAACCCAGGTTTCGTAAACTCAAAACTAAATTGCTTCTTTAGATAAGTCTTACAAGATCTATCTTGACTGATGCATCAGAAACTTCGGCATTGACTTTAAGTGATGAAGAAGCTCAGAGTTTTTCAGCGAAAGATATTACCTTGCATTCTTGGTGGGGTCCAACTGAATGGAGCATGGAAAAGCAGATATGATTTAGAACTCTATAAAATTTACAAAGAACCTGATATTGTAAAATTCATCCAATTACAGAGACTTTAATGGTGTGGCCGTCTGTTTAGAATGAATGTAGATCGCTGTTGCAAGAAAATCTCTCTGGCAAGGCCCATGGGAAATAGACCTCAGGGCAGACACCGTTACGATGGATTGATTGTGTCGAAAAAGACCTTAATATTTTCAAGGTTAAAAAAACTGGAAAACAGTTGCCAAAAGTAGAGATGCCTGGAGAAGACTTACCCATGGAGGGCTGTCGAGCCACTGAAGACGAAAAAAAAAAAAAAATTTGAATCCATTGAATGACAAGAGCAGAGGTATTGAAACTATGGATCGGTATTCCATTACGGGTGCCAAGAATTTATGCTGGGGCAGATGTGTGCATAAAAACCTAAAAAATCTGAAATGATGTTGTAGAGACATTAGGATATTTTCTGGAAGCAGAAAAGATGAAAAATATGCAACCGTTTTCGCCGGGAATCGAACCACCGATCTCTGGAATACCGGCCCAGCGTGCTACTGTTACACCACGAAGGTACGCTAAGGAAGTGGAAGAAATACCTTAT